TTCTTCAAACGGTTAACTGGTGGACAATAGTAGCTCTGAATACGCAAAACCCCTTCCCGGCTTGGATAAGGTCGTAATGGCCCATGATCCTTCGAGACCTCGTTGAGTTCTAATCGCACTACACCATAATCTCGTGGGAAAATCTTCTTGATTCGCCAGGATAGAAGGCTATCTTGAGATTATTCGATGATCTAAAATGCGCTCCTCACTTCAATACAACCGGGGCTACTCGGTTTGAATTTGGAAATTTGTGATCAATTCCGTTCTAAATGTGGAGATGACCCTTTCTATTGCCCCCCACCCCCTGTATATGCATACAGCAGTTTGGAGAGATATTACTCATGCTACCAAGCAAAACTGATATCACAAGACTTGCAAACTCTCCACTTTTTATGTTGGTTGGTTTAATTCATGAGTCAGTACCTATATTTTGCAGACAGACTGGCACACAGAAGGATTTGATTACTGAGCATTCTTGTGATAACTGTATGGCAAAATGCAACCTTATACAGCACTTAGAACGGCAAAGCAAGCTCAAAAATTCAATAATTGCTGAATTTTCGACTTCGCAGCTCCCTGCCGATGTTGGCCACCCGCTCATCGCTCAAAGGCGGATTTTACGATTAGAAGGCAGTTAATCAGAGTCAAGGTATGTAGAGGTAGTCAGTGGTGCTGGTATGAAGAAAAAACGCATGGGAAAGGGCTGAAACTTAAGAAATCGGGTACATTTTTCATCTGTTGATTTCCGCATTGATGCGATTCTCATTGGTGCTGCCCTATCTAAACTAACAATCTCTCCGCTTAACGGCTACAGACCTGTGGCGGATTGCGTTTCGGTAGGCACCGTTAGGGACTCCTCCTATCTTTTCACTCCATTCTTCGATCTTCGACATTATCGTTGAATCCTACTTTAAAGGCACGAGTCGGGATTGAATTGATGCGTTTTGTTGAAAATTAGGCAAGGGTGCAATGAGGAACATTAGTGAGGAGAAAAAGCAAAAAGCACCATAGAAAACACTAAATTTCCCTTAGGAGGCCGGCCGTAGTACGACGGAGAGACACAGCGCTGCGAGGAGAGGGAGAACGCGAGATAGTACGTCGTACGCGAGAGGGCGCAGAGACCACGTATGCCGTGGTTGATAAGGATGGCAGCACGGCAGCACAAGGCCTTAGCGCCGTTGCCTCGCACTTTTGAGTCGCGACAGTGTCGTGCCTACTGATTTTGGGGACCCCTCCCTCTCGCTCTAGAATGGACTGGTTTTTGGGGCCCAATCTCGGCTCGTGGCTACGAAGAAGTGTGGGTACTGATAAGCCATCTTGAATATAATATATCGAAAGACTAGTTAGTATGAAATAATGCTTCGCTAGTGTATGATAGCACAGCTGCTTGGGAAGCGAGCGATGCAGGTTCGAGTCTCACCTGGGGCAGTGCTTTACTTATAATTCAACATACTTGCGATATTTTTTCTACAGTTCAGGTTATTCAAAATATCCGAAATTCACGCACCTCATCAATCGAGCTGTACGTCACTGGAATAACGTGCCACGATGTGTCAAGGTAAGTTTCAGCGATAAATTTGAATTTTTACTACGTAGTTGATAGTTTGCAGTTGGCAGACGTAGCGTGGTCGTTTAACACCTTGACGACATTCAGGCGCGGTTGCGCGTCTCACCCTTGTCGTCCCTTCTTTAGCGCATGCGCGGCTTCTTCCCAAAGTTGTTTTTACTTATTCTGTAGATCATACGTTAACCTAGCTATAAACGCCGTGGTCCATGAAATGGTCAGATATGCTTGCACACAGCTGCTAAACCTGTTTGTTTCGGGCATCGAGAGTTGAGGGGAGGCTAGAGTCGGCGACGTTGAGCATTGAGAGTTTGAGTGAGCCTCCTGAGAAGAAGATGGTGTGGACGCGCATTTCCATTTCCTCACATTTCTACTCTCCACTTCCCTGAACTGACATATCCCCCTAGGTTTACGGCCCCTTATTTCGAGCTAATGTTATTGTATCTCCTTCACTATCGGAGAGCCGGAAAGGGTTGTCTCCGATGATTTGCCCTCCAATCGTTTTCATTGCCTCTTGTTTCTCCTTCTCAGTGTGGACGTGCGAAGAGAGACCTTTTTCGACACGGGTTCCCCGCCTCAGAGATCGCACTTGCAAATGCCATTGCCACGGGCCAAAGCCCAAAACGGCGATTGTCGTCAAGTGTTAAAGCCCCGCGCTCACAGCGGCAGCCCTTCATTATCCGCGCCTAGATCTACAGGGGGGGGGGGGGCCAAAAAAAGACATTTTGCCTATGTCGGACTTCGGCTCTTTTTTCTTCGCAGAGATTGCTGTCGTTGACGGGAGTTCCTCAGCAGAGTATTCCCTAAGTGTTCCTCTATTAGTGTACGCAGGCTCTCCTTCACTGCCCTCACCGTCTTCAGAATATGACGTCATCTGTCACCGTCGTCAGGCTCAAGGAGGTCTACCGTAAGAGCTTCAGCCTGAAGCTCTTACGCAATTTCGTGAATCGATTTAATGTTGGATAGTTTTCTAGAGGCATTAGCTACCACTGTGCAAATCCCCTCGGAACTAGCTTTCCAGTAAGGGTCGTTATGGTACACGATCCTTCGAAGACCCCATTGAGATCGACCAGTGCACCATGTTTCCAGGGCTAATTCTTCTGATGCCGTCCACGTACGTGGCCACTATGAAGATTTTCTTATAGAATGGAATGCACTCTTTAATAATAAGTTGGAACCGTTCGGTCTGAGTTGAGTAAAATGTGCTTAAATCCATCTGGAAGTGGAGGCAAAATGTCTTTTTTTTTGGCCCCCCCTGTATATGGGTTTGTTCTTTGAAAAGTGGACTTCGCGGCATTGCAAGCTGTTGGTATTGGAAAAATTTCAGGGTACATGAGGATGGAATACAAGACCGAGGACAATGGGAGGCTGAATATGTACGCCTATCCGCTGCAAGATCATACGTACTCCGTGCAACCGGTGAAACTTAGATGTTTACACGAAATTTCTTCGCTGACAATGCCTTCCAAAAGTGCAGAAAATTTCGACGAGTTCACTTCGAACACTTTCGGTGAAACTCTGCAGGCAATTTTCATTCGACCTTACAATGAAAAGGTGAGTTGCTGCTACATACGATAATAGGGAAACTCTTATGCCGAAAGATTGCGTTTAAGGTTTGGACTGTTTCTCTGAGTGAAATGAACTGCGTCTGGGTAGAGAATCGAGTACCTAGAACATGTATCGAAGATCTGACGAGACGCTGTCGATTGACACGTGTCGAGCTTGATCATGAAGATAGCGCCAAGACCAAATCGATGTTTAGGTGAGTGACAGCCTTCTTAGAGAGCTTACAGCTTCCAACAACACCCTGGTACTATACCTCAAATCTTAGGTATCCAAGAGACTGTCGAGGAATTGGTGACGTCTGGAAGACAATAGCATCCGAGTTGCCGTCACATTGGTTCCACTTCGATGCACCAGTGATAAGAATAGATACAAAGGCAAAAATGGTAACAGTTTTCCGGACATTGAAAAATGACTGTGCCTTGCATTCATGCAAGAGAAGTGTGGAAAAATAATTTGTGGAAACCACTGCTGAAACTGGAGGAGCCTTATCGCAAACATACCCGCTGGAGGGTGTCATGGGCCCCACCGGAAACACGAGTGCCGTGGTTGGAGGAGCTCCTGCCCTCTCCAGCCTTGCAACACAACTTTAAAGGCACGGTTCGGAATTAGGCACCCTCACATGTTCCATCCCCGATTCTGGCACAAGTGTTGATGTCGCACCTCTTTCACGGCTTGAAAGTGGCAAATGTGCTAGAAGCTCGCACTAGCAATCCACACCTTCATCCGGCAAGTCCCGCCTTCGCTGTCGGCTGCCACGTGACGCTGCAAGAAAAGCGCAGGCGCAGTTGAGGCAGTAGTTGCATTGCGATTCAATGTCAAGTGAAACTCGTCCAAACACGCCCTTTGGAATGCGGCCGAAAGAGAGGCCGCCTTGTTCGAGGCGCAATCGGGGTTTC